AATAGCATCATAATCTTCACACCAACACCAGAGTCTAGTTTGAATCTTTTAATGAAAGATTTGGATTTTTTAGAGTTAACTAAATTGTGAAATACTTAGTATTCTCATCACCTTCAGCAACGTACTTAGAGGTGACTTTTACTGTCTAGTACTCCTCCTTGAATTGGAGACGCATAAGAATAGCCTTAGCCATCTTAATTTACTCCCAATCAGAAGCATCAGAAAAATAGCAAGTTGACTTTCATAGTCAGTCTTCATATTTTCAACTTTAATAATATTTTCAAAGAGATTGCCAAATTTGTTATTGTTCCACCACCTTAAGTATTGCTTAAGACTTTTAAATTTAAGAGTGAGAAGAATCGTATCATTATCCTCTTGAAAATAGTGGACAAGTGCTTCCCAATTATCCTTCAAAATATTAAAAAAATTAGTATCCTTAAGCCACATGTTTTGAAAATAGAAAGGCTAAACACCTAATTAAATGTTAGTTTGAGAAATCTTAATTGATTTCCCTTTCCTCCCTTTGATCAACAGATTTATTTGTAGGGCACACACTTTCAGAGTAAGCATTAGAATGATGTCCCATCCTACATGGGTCATCAACATCCCTAGCACCATAAGCCATTAAGTCCTTATTAGAATCAAATGAAATAGGTAAAATCACATCAGAAATCATGTTAGAGAAATTCAAGGATAGAGAAGTATCTTTAGAATAGTTATTAAATCCAACAATAGTGTTTTCCCCAATCTCATTACACAAAAGAGTAGTGTTCAGTTTAATAGAAGTAGTAGCAATCACAATATTCTCAAGAGTGTTAACTCCATTAACAATGTTACCACCATTTTCAATACCCGTAGGGAAGTTTAAAGAAGTAGAAATATTGGAAAGGCGAGGAATTTCATTAACATGGGTGTTGGGAGAAGCTTGAGTGATGTCAAAATTATGAATGTTATCAACTTCATTTGGTTCAACCACCACATGAGCCTTAACTTTGACCTTAACATTTTGTGATTTCTTAAGACTAGGAATGATCTGATTGCATTCCAATTTACCATTACCTAACATTTTACAATGATCACAAAAATCAGGAAAGTCATTCATAACCATCTTCTTGACATAGCCATATTTTTCGGTCCTAACCAAATAGAGGTTGGGTATTGCTTGGTAGCATCCAACTTAACCAAAACTCTAGCAATCGAAGGTCAATAACCCATAGCCATAGCTAGCATTATTAATGTGGAAAGGTATACCAAATAGGCTTCTGAGGCCATGCAAAATTTTGGTAGAGAAGAAATGCGGACGTAGCTTAGGGAATGAAATCTATATGGGAACAAAAGGGGATTCAGCTGAAATATCAAAGAAAAGAGACCATTTAATAATCTTCATGTAACAATTGAAAGTATAATACGATCTATGCTTAAGAATGTGACTATAATCCAAATCATTTTTCAATTTTATCAAAACATGTCTCAGATTAAACAAAGTAATAGAGAAACCAGTAGTAAGTTTGAGATTGAAAAAAAAAACTGGTGAATCAAATCAATTTTAGGTATGTGAGTCAAAAACTTCCCTAGGAGATCAAATTGAGAAGGAGATGCTAAGCAAGCACTTCCACTTTCGAGATCCACAATGAGGTCATACCACAATGAGTAGTTAATTTGAGATCTGGAAAAGATGAAGCGGGGGATGAAGCATAAATCACATCCTTGAAGGATCAAGTTTTGTTAACATCACATAAAAAGTTAGGATCAACGAGATTCACACAATTAGTCACCACACTACCCATGGAGAGAGCCCTTGATAGTGGCGCGCAACCATCAGAAAAGGGAGAAAGCGAAACCTAAAGGTAGAAAAAACACATAAAGGTGTAGAGGAGAACTCTCCTGACAAACACAGAAGTCTAATCATCTAAAAATGCAAAACGAAATCACGAAGAAATGATCTTAGAAATAATGCTTTATATAATATCATGTTTATTAAAAGAAGTTAACAGTTTAAGCATTGAATTAGTGATCTTTCTTAAATAAAATTTCATTGCATTTTTAGTATCAAATATGTATTATAGATTGATATTTTCCATCTCATGTAATAATAAATTTTGATCCACAAATATATTAGTATACATTTTGAAATATCTTTAATTTTATAAGTTTTATGGAAAAAAAAATTACATCTTTTTATAATTCTTAGGTAATCAATTTTGAATTGTGCTAGTGGCTATGTTCGGTGGTCCTCTATGGTTTGATGGTATTAGAATGTTGTTATTTTGGTTTAGCTTTCTCTTTTGAAGGAGGATTATATCACATCGTGCATGGTGGCTCTTAAACATGGGTGGATTTAAGGGGGGCTAGTGGGGCAAGTGCCCCCTCCCCCAAAAAAAAAAAGAAGCTCTCACCCTCTCTTGAACTTTTATTCTATCCAGTGAACGTACGCAGAGGAAGGTTCGGTTTTAGGCAAAAAAATGCGTGTACCGAGTTTTTCGCGCCTGTACCGAGTTTTTTGAAAAAACTCGGTACAGGCGCTTTTTTGCCTAAAACCGAACCTTCTTCTGCGTACGTTCACTGGATAAAATAAAAATTCCTTTCCATCACCTTCTCTCTATCTTCTCTCTACTCTCTCTCTCTCTCTCTCTCTCTCTCTCTCTTTCTCTCTCTCGTCTTTGTTTTTGTTTGTCCATTTTATTTTAATAGGTGAGTAACCTCTCCAAATAGCCTCTCTCTCTCTCTTCCCTCTCCTCTCTCTCCATGAGGGTAAGACACTTTTTTCTCCATCTCAACATTACTAGTTTTTTTTTTTTTTGAAAAAGAAAAAATATTAATTTTTTTTAATTATTTAAAAAACTCCAATCCTGTTATTATAGGAGTGATTTAGTAAATAAAGCCACACATTACATTAGAAGCGTGGAATTTATATAATTTAAATTTAAATTAAGTAGCTTAAAATATACCTTTATTATAAATCCTTTATAATTTTTAGTTATACTTTTTTATAATAAGATCATATTTTAATTATATGATTAGCTCATTTAAAATATTTATTATTAATATTTTTATTTAAATTCAAAGATATAAAAATAATGATAGAAGAGTAGTTGAAATACGATCAATATGATTAATATATGTTTAAGATAAATTTGCTGTTGAAATTTTAGATAGAGTGAATAAAATTAAGCTATTGCTATATATATTATAGATATTTATATATATATTATATTATATTATAATATATATATTAATAAATGTGTAAATATGAGCTATAAGTAATATATTATATATATATATATTATTATATATATGTATATTATATACATAAAAATTTAATTTCTTATAATTAAAAAAATAATAAAAAAAGTAAACAAAAGATGTAAATTTCAAGCTTAAATGAAAAAGCTTGCAGGGGCATTTTAAAGTTATAATTTTGTGACACTCGCGGAAAAAATTTCACTACAGGAAAACGAACTCATTTCAGAATCAGAAATTTCGGCTGAAAAAAATCCGTGCTATATGTTCCTGCGATTTTCGGCTATATTTAGACGGTTATCGATTCTCTTCATAGATATTCCGGATTTTGAACGGTTTTTGTATCATTTTCCGAATACATTTACCGTCGAGACCTTATCCGACGGAAATATAAAAAATTTAAATATTTTTATTTTAATTATAAACTAATTCTATTTATTAATAACTTAAATTATAATAAAATAAATTATAATTTAATTATTTATATTTAAAAAAAAAAAAAATAATTATAATTTAATGAATATATATAATAAAATTAAAATTAATTTATTTGTTAAATTAAGTTTATTAATTAATTTTTGTTTAATTAAATTAATTGATGTAATAGTATGTAGGTTAATAAAAAAATGTAACAAGTTAAACAGTTTTTTTTATAATTAGGTATGGCTCGTGCTGGTGCTGTCGAATCTCGCCGCATTGCATGCGTGAGGGTGCAAGCTGGTCCCAGGACAAACAGGGCGGAGGTGCATTGCAAGTCGGGCGGGCTGTGGTGCCACGGGACATATACGGCGGGTTGGGTGCAGGCCGTGGAGCCGGCGGATAGGGGAATAAGCATGACGGGAGCAATGGATCCCGCATGCGCGTTTTAAATTTTTATTTTTTCTTCATTCCCGTCGCATAAAATTTCGACGGAAATATTTTCCACGCGAAAAATTCCGTGCTGAAAATGTCGCCGGAAAAATGTTTCTGACGAATTAAATTTTTTACCCGGAAAAGTCCCTATTAACGAGCGCGTGAAACCGGCGAAAAAATATTTTCCGCGGAAATAGC